TAAAATCAGTTTATTATTTTTTATAAAAAAGTAAAAATAAAATATTTTTAAATCAGTATCTTTTATATTCCCGACTCTGGCGTCAGTGAATAAAAAGATCAAATAAAATTTTTTTATGCATATATATTTTTATGTAACTAAGTAAAAGAGAAATACAATAAAATAAAATAAATTATTACCTTTATTCCTGACTCTGGCGTTAGTGAATAAACTTATAATTTTATTTTATTTTATTTTATTTTTATTTTTTACCTACTTTTATTTTTTGCAAAAAATGAAATAAATTTGAATCTTTATTCTGATTCTAGCTTTAATAAATAAAAACAAAAAAAATATTTTTTTGTTTTTTATTTACACATTCAGAATCTTTTTTATTTTTTATTTTTTTTATTTTTTCTATTTTCTTGGGCTGGGCTCAGCCCCTATTTTCTGGGCTGGACCCAGCTCAGCCCGCATGGGCTGGACTAGACCCAGCCCTCCCAGATGGGCTGGGCTAAGCCCAGCCCGGCCTGGCCAGTGGCCTGGCGAAGCGTAGCGACACGCGTGCTCTAACGCACGCATGTTGCTACACTGTGCAAGTGAATTAACATTCACTTGCACAGTGTAAATGCCAAATAAAGAACGCGGAAGAAGACCCACCTGAGTTGCTGGGATGATGCTGTCTTGGGTCGAAGGTCAATGAAGGCGCTCCTCTCTGCTTCTGGTTGCCTCGTTCGGAGATGAAGGAACGAAGATGATGATGATACCAGTTCTCCACGAGTGGTTTTGATTCTGAGTTCTTCCTCTTTTCTGCTATCTTTCGGTTTTCTTGCCTCTTGTTGCTGCCTCTGGTTATTCTCTGTTTTCTTCTCTTGTAATTCTTCCTTCGGGTTAGTTTTTTTTTGCTTTTGTTTTGACTCCAGTCCTACCTCTGTTCTTGCTCTGTTTCTTTCGGATTTTTTCTTTGTTCTTGTTCTGTATATTTGTCTTTGGGTTGTGTTTTGTTTGCTCTCTTTTCTTAGATTGCTTGCTTTGTTTTTCTGGGTTTTTTGTTGCTGTTGGGTGCTATGAATTGCTCTCTTTCTGGATTGATTTTCTTGTTTTTTCGGGTCTCCTCCTCCTTTTCCTCACGCCGGGTTTTCTTCTCCCTTTTATAGAGAAATTGGCCCCGCAACCGGTCCTGTCTTTGCAGGACTATGTTATGGAATCCCTGAACGAGATTATTGGCAATAGATGTCATCCAAGATCGGGTTTGTTGCAGATTATCGGCTCCCCTGCTGGCTCGGGATGGAGAAGACATGGCAACGGCGGCGTTTTGGCTGGAAACGGGAGTTTTCAATTTGACCCCTGGGCTTTGGAAATTCTGCAATTGGACCCCTAATCAATTAAAAGTTCTTTTAATTTTTTCCCGGTTAATTTCAATTAGATCCCTAAATTGTTTGCCCGGTTAATTTCAATTAGATCCCTAAATTGATACGTTGTTTACACAACAGTTCTGAATTTCTAAACTATTCAATTTAGTCCTTAAACTTTAATTTTCCAACAATTTTATATGAATAACCTCCAAACTTTGGTATTTCTTCAATTAAACCCTTGATTCTTTTAATTAATTAAATCAAAGTTTAATTAAGTCCTCAAACTCGTTAATTCCTCAATTTTTTTTAATTTGATTAATTAACTTAATCCCAAGCTTAATTAAGTTTCAAAATTTATTAATTCTTCAATTAAACCTTTGATTTAATTAACAAAACTAATCAAGAGTCTAATTAAATATTTAAACTTTCCAATCAGGTTGTCATTAACTTAAATTTTAATTCATTCTTTATTTACTTTTTTTCATCATTTTTTTATCAAAAATTTTTTAATAAATAAATAAAAAAAAGATAAAATTTTGGTTATGACAGATACTACCCAAAAAAAATCTTTCTTACTCTTATATTTAAATTTAAAGCTACCAAAAAAATCTTTAAATTCTTATTTGTTATTGACGTGTAATGTTTTATAAATGCGTTTACGGATTAGATAAATGAAGAAACATCCAAGAAGAGATTTGAACACGTTGATATGCTTAAATTTTTCTAGGGAATTTTACGGTTGCAAATTTATAGAAGTTTGGTTATCTGTAACTAAACGAGGTTGGGAAGGAGGCCCTGAGGTTAGATTCGAAAGATGGATGCTGATTTTTCATTTTTCATCATTCAGTGTTATTTTCATGTTTTCCCTATTTTTCTTAGTTCCTTCTACATAAGCTCTGCTGGTTCTTTACTACTATATAAACAGCTGCTGGGTTATTTTTCAAGTCAATTTTATAGATTATCCAGTTGGTTTGCAGCACACCGTGGCCAGGCTTGAAGGTTGAAAATGTCCCGGGCAAATCCATGTTGCTGCTAATCTGTGTCTCTCCTCGCCATCGATCTGAAAAGGTTTGCACAGAGCTCTAAATCATGGAATTGGATGGTGTTTCAAGCATTGTACCAGACGGCTGATCTCAATCATTTCATTGCCAGAAATGGAAGCAAAAGTTAATTCCATTTTAATGGTAAAGGGTCAGTGTATCATGTGGGCTGCCCTCCGTTAAAGGTTGAAGAGTGTCGCCTGTGGCATTCAAATTGTTTAATGTTGATGTTTCATCTGGCCATGCTGTAGATCACATGACCTGTTCCCAGCTGGTAGCTGGTCGGGCATTTTTCTTGAAAGTTAGATGCAAAGAAGGCTGAGCATCTGCTGGTTATGTTCGGATTAGATCAAAATATTCCAACCAAATCATTTTTCTTTTTTAATATTTGAACTGAAATGATTCAATAATCAGTTTAACTCCTATGATTGGTTTTAGTTTAGTTCGTTCTTCTTTTTATAAAACCAAATTATCTCATGAATTCTTTTCGGTTGAACTTTTTTTAGTGATGAGCTTTTTTAATTTTTAATTTTTTAAAAAAATTAATTTGATTTAGTTTCATAACTTTTTTTTTATTTCTTAAATTTAAAATTAAAATTTTCTTTGTATTTAAACTGAATTAACTTGACTTGACAAACAGTTGAAGACAAATAGTTTGATTTATTTTTTTATTTTAAAAAACCAAATTAGACTTGGGTGCAATGTGGATAAATTTTTTTTATTTTATATTAAAAAATTAAATTAATTTTAGTTTTATTTTATTTTTAAAAATTAAAATTAAACCAAGTTGAATTTAAAAAAAAATCTCTTATTAAATATTTTGGTTTTATATCTTGAGTTAATTTTATTTTTTTATTTTTTTTAATTTGGTTAAACGATTATTTTACTCGTTCATGCTTCAGAATGCAAAGATGCATTGTAACAAATCTTGATATGTACCATTTCGTTTTCATTTAGTGCAAGCATGGTTTTCAGTGTTGTTTGTACCCTGTGATGTTTTTTCCTGCCAAACTCAAGTGAATCGACCCACAAGCACGCACGCACGCACGCGCTGGCTTCTCCCTCCTTTTCTTTATTGATCTTTGTACAGAAACACTACCTTTTATTTTCGGAGCATTTTATTATTGCAGTGACAATCTTTTTTTTTTTTTTTTTAATTATACTCACCGATCACTGCTCCCTCTAGAGCTTTTTATTATTGCAGTGACAATCTTTCTTTTTTCTAATTATACTCACCGATCACTGCTCCCTCTTCTATAAAATGTTAAAATTCGAGCAGTTGCAACACAGTTTCTTGTATAACCTTCCGTCGAGATTTCAAATTCCATGTGTGTTTAGGGTTCTGATAATGCCTGGAGTTGTGATTTTAAAAAACAAATTTAAAAAAAAAATACTATAAATTAATATAAAACTATGATGTTTTAATTAACAAACACTTCTAAAATTATAATTAGAGAAAAACATGGTTTCAAACGCGTTACAAGCCATGCAGATAAAAAAAACCCCACCAAGCAAGTGGGATCCATGTGAAACTAGGATGTTTTGATTGACAAGCACTTTTCATATTATGGTAAGAGAAAAACACGGTTTAAAACACATTATATGTAGATAAAAAAAACCTCAAGGAGCAAGCTTTTTATGACAGTATTTCGTTTGTATTTCAATTTTCAGGTAGTTTGCTGGCCAGTTTACATGGTTTGGCTTATGTATGCAGTAGCAGGTTCATAAATCCACTTCCCTAAACACTGGAGATCAGGAGGAAGACGAGAACCATTTATTTGTGATCTGTTGTTAAAAAAGAAGATACTCCCTCAAACTCTGCAATTCATATTAGAACATCAGTACAGAAGGCTATGTATACTGGACGTGAATGTTAACTTGAACCCTTCAAAAACTTGGAAGAAGTCTTTTCCAGTCCATAATCATGCCTGGTCGACGGCCACCGGGCCATCAATCGAGCTTGATGGAGCCTGTGAGCTGAATCCCCTCCTCCTTCTCCTCTAGGAGCCACAGTTGCATATACTTTGAACAAATCAGGCAGAGGTCACTGCCATGCTTTGTTTGATTAAAACATAAATTCTTTTTCATCACGGATTTTGCATTAACTAGAATTTTATTCAAAAAACTCCATCTTAAATTAATGGTCTTAAACACTCACTCTGATAATAAAGAACTTGTTTTTGACATACTTCTCTTGTGGTTTTAGATTCGAACATTGAAGTTATTAATATTGATAGCTATTAAAAGCTTATTTGATCATTAAAAGAATTTATCTTTAGTATTGTCTTGATCATTCATTTTACATGGGTGAATTTTTATGTTTATAAAAGCTCCGTCAATTCTAGGATATTACCATCAATTTTATCATTAATAGTTTTTTTAATTTATTTTTTAATTTATTTTTAAAATTTATAGGATCAAAGTCTAAAAATAGAGTGTAAAATAAGTAAATGGGTTATCATATTAATGGGTTCAGTTACAGTATAATCATGCTTCATCATGGGTGTTTAAAATAAGTTAGATACGGTAAGTGAGGTTATGCCTAGTGGTGGGAGGGGCTTGTCCCCTTCCTCTGTACCTCAGTTCGAATCTCACCATGCATGCCTGTCATCCCTGCGGTGCCTTACTTGCTCACTGGGCTTTGATATATATAAAAAAAAAAATTTAATAAATAGATATAAGATTTTTAAAAACGTTATAAATATTAATATAGATATACTGAGATCTTTGTAGATAAAAGATAGGTTTGATTTGGACATAACGTAAATAAAAAAAATAATAAATAAGTTAAATACGTTGATATATAATAAAAAAAAATAGATATAAGATTTTTAAAAACGTTATAAATATTAATATAGATATACTGAGATCTTTGTAGATAAAAGATAGGTTTGATTTGGACATAACATTTCCTATCATAAAGTATGGAATAATTTATGGATCTATTCATTTTTATTACTAAAAAAACATAGAGTCAGTAGGGCTGCCAAAACTGGCACAGAAGGAAGTTATAAGAGCAATTAGCTCAATTCATTCTTTCCGGGATTTACAGCTCATGCAAACTCATGTGTCATTTATTTTATTTTTTAAAGAACTGTCTAATAAAATTATGATGACTTAATTAGATATTTAATCTCGTATAACTCATACGAACATTAACTATTTGATATTATATTAAGCCTGCCCCATCTGTCAAGGATTTAAAAGATGATAAAAGGCACCCCCACCTTCTTTTTTTAAGAGTTTTAAGTTGAATGATTTAACTCAATTATTCTAAGTTTTTGCTTAAAAAATATAAATCAACATTGATTTGGTTAAAAAAATAAGTTTTTTCATTCATCCAGATATAAATATTTACTTGTCAAATTGAGCTAAAAGGTTATTTGAGAATGTAGTTATAATTGTTCTTTAAAATATTTTTTTTAATAAATTAAAATAATGTTTTTTAATTTTAAAAAGTTATTTTTTTATGTTAGAATATCAAAATTATTAAAAAAATAATTTTGAATATTTTTTTTAAATTTCAACTAATCCCGTTGGGAATCAATGCTAAAGAGGGCAAAGTCTAGTGCAGCTAGGCTAAGAAGAATGTTATTTAAACGAGTTAAAAAAAAAACAAGTTTTTTCATTCATCCAAATATAAATATTTACTTGTCAAATTGAGTTAAAAGGTTATTTGAGAGTGTAGTTATAATTGTTTTTTAAAATATTTTTTTAATAAATTAAAATAATACGTTTTTTAATTTTAAAAAGTTATTTTTTTATGTCAGCCTATTAAAATTATTAAAAAAATTAATTTTAAATATATGTTTTTTAAATTTCAACTAATCCCGTTTGGAATGCAATGCTAAAGAGGGCAAAGTCTACTGTAGCTAGGCTAAGAAGAATGTTATTTAAACGTGGGTGAACCGCAAATGATGCTCACGTACTCTTCTGAGCGAAAACAATCAAGCAATTTACCATAAGCTAAGGAACATTCTTGATCCACACAGCGAAAACCCTTTGGGGCCAAC